CTGCTTTCACGGTACCGTCAGGAAAACGTAAAGCTTACGTGCGTTATGTTCTCAGCAGCTACCGGTGCGAGTCATTGCTAATTACTGACAATCTTTCGGGTGCGCTGCTTGAACAAATTGCGTCTTCGCCCGGGCAGGTAGTGCCACGGGCTCTCTCACGCTTTTTGCTCTGTCGTGGTGGTTTCGCGCTGCCGCAGCCCGTTGTGATGTTACTGTAGCTGTCAATTCGCTTCGCTGCTCTGTGAAAAAGATTGCTGCCCCGTGTTTGCTTCGCTGTCCTGTTAAATAGAACTCTCCTTATTTCGTTTCAGTTCCAACGCCGAATTCAGCCAGGTCACTTGACCTTGGTGTTTTTGTATGTCAAATACGTTCCCTTGTGTGCAGACTAGAAGCAAAGGCCTGTGGTATCAGCATGATGCTTACTGCCCTTTCATGTATTTAAGCATTTCTAGTTTAAATGTTGCAGGTTGTCCTTATAACAGCCTGCTTTTGTAAGCATACCTGCGTACGTGCGCATGCGTGCTTACCTATGCAGCTGAGCCGTAAACATAAGTTTGTTTTTTCCTCATAAATTCGGCTAGTTCAGTGGTTCTAAACCATTTGGACTTAGTTTCTCTTTGTGGTGCAAATGCACAACGCCCAAACTCGTAACTCTGAGGCTCCTGAAGATGTTGTGGTTCACCACACTGCACACCTTGCTGGCGCCGGTTACTGGTCATCTGCGGGCTAGTCTGGGAATTGCTGCTTTTGTTTATGTCAGCGTGACTGGGGTTTTTAATAGCTCCTAGCTTTGGCAATGATAATACAGCCTTTGCTTCTGCAGGTAAACAGTCATTATTTATTTGTTCCTTGAGGTTTGTGATGAGACTTTTTTTCCTGGACAGCGTACCTCTTAACGGGGTGAGACTATTTAAAAGGTAGAGGTAGTAAAAACAATAGCTAGGCATAACACTTGAACATATGTCAGTATTCCTAGGTAACTGTAGCATTAAAATCCTCTCCTACTTGTAAAGGCCTGTTCTCCCCATACAGAAATCACTGGTCTTTGAGTATGAGCAGTTAAATTCTTGCTTATTTTCTGGTTAAAATGGAATCTTAATGATCCATCTATCTGGTTGTCAGTTAATAATAAACTGGCTGCAAATTAATGAGCAGTCTCATTGCTTGTCTTCATACTGTGGCTGCTTACCCGACTTCTTTCTGTATGGTTTGAAACTCTGTATTCTGCATCCATTAATGATTGTGTGTGATATACAGCTGGGAAGGAAGCTCGCCCACAGAATTTCTGCTCATCTGTTCTCTGTCCTGGGAGATTTTCCCTACTACATATACACATGGGGCTTTTATTTTGATAGGTTTTATAATTGTACTCAATTTAAATTTGAATTCTGGTTGCAGGTGAGTTTATGTGAAAATTGCTTATCCCTTTTAGCAGGAACCACCTTTGTTTCTGTGCAGCACTTAGTAGAGTAGGATCTGGGGGGTTCTAGGCTCTGCTGCATCGCAAATATTACTAGGGATATCGTTTGCCTATTTTCAGTATAAAAACAGACGGCAATGTACATGAAATTGTCTTAGAGTATCGTTTAAATGTCCTCTCAGTGGCTTAAGTCAAGACTGTTGCTGTACATTAACTTCTGTTTCTTCACAGGCTGCGTGCAATTTCATCAAATCTCGCGTGGACTCCAGCAGTGTTGATTCCCTCTTCTACGCTGCACAGTCCATCCGGGTCCTGTCTGGCTGCGAGGTGCGTTTGGAGCCCTGAGCTCTGAAGACAGATGTTACCAAGGCAGCACTTACCTTGATCTTCTTCTTGGTTTTATTTTATGCATAGTCTACTTTCAGTTTCTTCTAGTGGGTCGTACTCTCTTGTGTCTTAGGTAAATAACTTACAGAGTGTCTGCGAGTACCTTTACAAGGCAAAGTGTAAAGATATAAAGCAAGTATTTGGCCCAGGGTGATTCTGAGGGGATGTTCCTTATTAAACATTGGTGGCTGAGAAAAAAGGAGCCAGCACATTTTAATAGAATTCACAGCAGCCGTGTCAGTTAAAACCTCTTTGGGTGGGTGGTAAACTGTTTGGAGGTAAACCTTGTGTTGAAACACTGCAGTGACACAAATGCAGCCCACCCTTGCTGAGTTGTGGGTGGGTTATCCAAGCCCCGTTTTTCATCAGTACCACCGGCTGCTGCACAGTGATGTGAAGCCAGATGAAAAGCAGTAGCAGGTTACCAGGATAAATCTGAATCGTGGATTATCCTGACTAACTGATAGTTGAGAGCAAAACTTAGGGATTTAATTAATTAAACTAAAAGGTAACAGATGATAAAGGGCTTTTTCCCAAAAGTTTGCAGTAGTTCACCAGTCAAGTGTGTTGCTCCAGGAAGAAATCAGTGGTGACTAGAAGGCTTTGTGTTTTTTAAGCGTGAATCAACATGTTCCCTGTGCTCTTCCTCAGGTTACCATTTCAAATGAGACCAGGGAGCTGCTGCTTGCAGCTGTCAGCGAGGATTCCTCAGTCACCCAGATCTTCCACGCCGTTGGGGCCCTGAGTGGCTTTGGCCTTCCTTTAGCATCTCAGGAAGCACTTAGTGCTCTTACTGCTCGTCTTAGCAAAGAAGAAAATGTGCTGGCGTAAGTCTTTCAGATGGAAATGATTCACTGTTGCATGTTTATCTTCTAAGCAGTTGGATTTTGGAGTAAAGGGTATTTTAACACTTAAGTTTTGTAATATAGATGTAGTAGAGTAGGTGCTGTGTTTTCGTTTGATGTATTTGTCCAGTTCATTGTTGTCCCTCTGGGGGAATGAAAAATAGGTTTTTGGGCTATTTTTTCTGTGTGATTTTTGCAAATGAGCGTATGTATTCAGTTTAGTTCAAGAATAAAGGTCAGTAAAGAGGACACATCCCAAAGAAGCCTCCTCTTTCAAAAAGATTCACAACAAATTTTTTACTTAATACCCAGCCATGGTTCTGTGTCATTTATGGTGGCACTAGACTTGATGCTCTTCCTCAGCCCTGTCGTTTGTAGGTTGGGACGCCTGTACTCTGAGGTGGAAAAAACGTGCCAGTAAGCAGAAGGGATCTTGGCATTTATCACCAAAGAATTAAGTAATTTTACTGCAAAAGGAGAGAATAGGGATTTCCTTAAAAGCTAGGGAAGAAAGGGAAACTTTAAAACTTGCTTTGTTGACCAAAAAAAATGGATTCCTGGAAGCCTCAGTAGCAAGTCTGGGGGTCTGGGCTATGCAGGGATCAAAGTGGTTTCTTCTCTGCCTTTGAATCTGAGTTTATTGCAGCGCTGATGCAGCTAAAGTGGCGTTCCCTAATGAATTCTAAGTTTCCACTAAATCGCTTCAGATTCTTTGCCTTGAGTCAACTGAATGCAGTAACAGCTGTTTTACACTTCATTCAGAATAGAAACTGTAGTTGCTTTGATTTGAATGATGCTTGGCTTTTAAGGAAGGAAAATCATACAGTTGTTTGGTTTTGTTTGTTGTTGTTTAAGAACCATCCAGGCTTTGGAGACGGCATCTTACTTGTCCCAGCAGGCAGATCTAAGTGGCATTGTGGAGGAGATAGAGGTAGGAACACACTACGCTCTCTAATTATTCAGGAATTTGTTAGACCTCTGGAGTGCTAAAAGATGTATTAATGTGAAACACAAAATGAAAAACCAACCTGGCTAATTCCTTGCCTGCATGATGTGGGTTGGCTTGGCTCTTCCTTTCCAGCGGATATTTCTTCTGGAATTTTAACTGTTTCACAGTGGACTGAGACACAGAAAGTCATGACTTTTAAATATAATTAAATCCACCAAAGGCTGAAGGTTTCTTTTTCTTCCTGTTTCTAAATTACTATTACAAAATACCTCAGTGATCCCATACAGATACGCTTGATTACAGGCCTAACAGTGGAGTTAACTTCTGTGGATCTGCTAGAATGCAATTTAAATTTTAATAACTCTCTCTGTCAGGATCTTGTTGCTCGCCTGGATGACTTGGGTGGAGTTTATCTGCAGTTTGAAGAAGGAATTGAGACTACTGCACTGTTTGTTGCTGCTGCCTATAAGCTGTCGGACCACGTGGGTACGGAGCCAGCCATGAAGGAGGTCTGTAGCTGCGTTTTCCTCCCTTGCACACCGTAGCTGACAAAAAGGATCTGCCTAGTCCCTATTGCAAGACGCTGGTATAGCTGGGTAGAATTTCTGCTGGAAAAAATAATGAGCGCACTCAGTGAAGAGCGCATTCATCTCAGAGTGAATGCTAAGTAACAGAATCCAGGAGAAAATTCTACCTTCAAGATCACAGGCTGAATTTGGTTTGGTTTTTTTCTTTCAAATGTACAGAAGGAAATTGCAAGGGAGGCCTAGTTTTTCTTTGTTTATTGAGACAAGCTGTTGAAAAAAAAGCCTCTTATTTCAGAGCTTGTTCTGGTATTTGGCACTTGTCTAGCACTTCCCAGCATTTCAAAGAGTTTTGCAAACGTTATTTACCTGTGAAGAAACACAGGCACCCTAGTTTGGGGTGCCCAAAAGGGAGACAACGTTAGTATCATACACCTACAGGAATCCAGATGCAAAAACTTGTTGCCTAAAATGAAAGCCTGGAAATTCCTTTAGAGCTTGGTTAAGCTAGAAATCATTACTGCAAGCTATCCACTTAATGTATTTTTTTTCCACAACAGGTTAACTGAGTTAGATGTACTTTTGATTGAGAGTGGCAGCTCCCTAAAGCACAAGTCAAAGTGGCAGGGTTGAGACAGAAGCCAGTGTAAGACATCTGAGTTCATTCCTGGCTCTCTTCCATGCTGCTGCCAAACAGACTAATCCAAAGTAATTTTGATGTCAATTTTTGAGGTGGTGATTCTGCTACACACAATTCAAACTGTCAGCGTCCAAATGATGTTTAGAAAAAAGACCAATTAAGGAAAATTGTTTAGTGTTGTTTCAGAATTGTGCTGTCAGAAGTGCTATTGTTGGGGCTTAAAGCTTTATCTCTTGCGAATGGTGAGAGTGCCTCCAGAATGCCACAAAACTCACTTTAAAAATTAACACGTAGTATTTGAAAAAATAGCTCCCTTTTTTTTTCCCTCACAATTTAAATGAGTGTCAGTTGCCGGTTAAGGTCTGGAGCTATGCCATGACCTCCATATAAATGAAAAACACTGCAGGATTTGTGCTGTGAGGGAGTTTTTTGTAGCTTCTGTCTGGATGCTTTCTCTAGTTATGTCATGTACGTTGGCGCTCATTAATACAAATACGAGGGTGGAAATTTGAGAGGCAGTGGATTTCATTTAAAAGTGTTCTTTGTAGGTTACTGAATTGTATGCCTATTGCTTTATTTGGGATTGTCTTTGATTATTCTCATTTCTGATTAGAATTTAGCCCACAATCCTTTGCTTGGATCAAAGCACAGGTAACCAAACCCTCTGTTTTCCAGACTAGCAGGGAGTAATGGAAGAATCTGAAAAATATGGCATACCCTGCGGAGTGTGGCGCAGACGCGCTAACCGTACGAAGTCAGACTGGAAAACCAGCTGGGGGACTCCGTCCCACTCCTACTTCGGAGAGAACAAATTAGCTTTGGCACATCCCAGAGCCAGAGCTGGCTCTGTGCTCCTGGTGGTACTGCTTTAAAGCTAATCCTCTTAGCTTGAGGACACTGCTGAGCCTAAGGGGATAAGCCTGCATGGGCCTAGTCTGGCTCCTTCCAGAGCCATTAGGATGCTTTGCATCACCTCTCCGTGGCCTTCCCAGCTTGGCAGGTAGCCAGGACATCTAGCCTAGTCCTTCTCCACTGTATGAAGACAATTGTACGGCTCCTGGAGCCAAATTGTCTTTTTGCAGCTGCATGCAGTCGGGATAGTTGAGCTGATGGCATCTTCCATTCTGAAACACGTAGTTTGAAGAGGTAGAGCCAAATTCTGGTCTTGCAAGTTTTCAGCACAATTACAGCGATTGTGGTTGGAACCTCCCAGCCCAGAATAAGAATGCTAATGTGACATTCAAAAGGTAGCTAATTTTGGGTTACCTCATAAATTGAGTTATTTTTAAAGCAAATGGGAAATTAAGCAGTCTTTGTGAGTGATGTTTTTATTAATAACATTACACTGAGCCAGTTTGCAATGTTGTGATAAGCTGCTGGTGCTTATATGTGGTTTGCTTTTCCTCTTTCAGGATCAAATTATCCAGTTGATGAATGCAATTTTTAGCAAGAAAAACTTTGAGACGCTCTCGGAGGCCTTCAGCGTTGCTTGTGCCGTGGGTTCTTTATCCCGGAACCGCTACCACTTGCCTGTCATTATTGTCCCCGATGGGCCTGCAGCTGTGTCTCACCATCAGCCCATACTCAGGGTGAGTCCTTAGCCCCAAATCTTAATTCATCTCTTGGCTCAGTCTTTAGTGCTGTAGGTCTGGGCTGACTGAATGTGTAAGGTGATGTCTTTCACTTTTAGCTCCAGGACTCAGGTTCCAGTAGATCTGGGGTTTTAGTGCTTTTATGGAGGGATTCTTAGGAACCTCTGCTTACCCAGGGCCTACCAGACGCCACCTCGAGAAGGCACTGTGTGGAAGTCAGCTCTGCTGATTACAAACTTCAGCTCTCCCGGTTATGTTAGAAAGAACTAGGTGAATTTGGGGTGCTGGGCAGGGGAGAATCCTGGGTGTATAATGCAGAGGGGTAGTGAGTCGTCTGTGCTCCTGCATTCCTTCTGGCACAACGGGTTTCACAGAAATTCTTGTTTTTCTCTTGTAGCTACAAGTGACCGATGTTATGTCCCAGCCACTGACTCAAGCTTCTGTAAAGCTTGACTACGCCAAGTCTGCATCTAGCAAAGCCACTGTCCTTCAACAGACAGCATTTGCTCTGTCAGGGTAAGAATATAATCTCATTTTTACAGTTTGTAAGGCAAACAGGTGTTATTTCAACAGTGTTGGACTTATTTTCCTTATGTGTTCTTCCACCGGAGAGATGTCTGTATGATGGAAAACTCAAAATGCTGTAGTTGCGTTTGGTTGGTAACAGGTGACTGAGCGCGTTTGGTAGCGATGGTGAATTTCTGTTGCTTTTTCTTTTGATTGGGAGTGGGGAATTGCAATGTTCTTCTGACTTCGGAGGCACTTTGGAGAATTCTTTTCCTGCTGCTCTTAGCCATGTTAGCTTTGTGGTGCATTTGTCTGTTTGCTTGCTTAATCTAGCATATTTGGAGACTTCTTGGTAGCAAGAATAGATTACCTATTTGTAGGATGCTGTTAGTGTCCTAGAGGATATTTAACACCTTGCTTTTTTTTTTTACAGAGACATCTTTGAGCTGAACTTCATGAATGTGAAACCTGCAAGTGGATATTATGATTTCTCTATCAGTGTGGATGGAGATAAGCGATTTATTGCTAACAAAGTTGAGGTGGGTATACTTTTTGATGGCATTTTAATTCTGTGCCTATTCACTGAAACAGCTTTTTATTTATACCTGTTAAGGATGTTGCCCGTTATATGGCATTTTTATCACATGTTTTTCTGTAATGCATTGGATTTTGACTCAGGATTATGACCAGCAACCAGATTAATATATGATCAAAAGAGATTTGTGTAAATTTCAAAATTGACTTATCACTTAGATGCTGATCTGACAGCATATGAACAAAGGCTAACAGTGGGAGTGTTTATATAGCAGCCCAAAGTAGCTATGCAAAACCGATTACTAAGAATGTTAGTTCTTCAGAGCATTCAAGATTTGAGTCTGTAAATCTCAAGGCTTGGCTAGCAGTTGTCTGGTGATTGCCTGATGTATGGAAGCTCAGCATTTGTTGTTGTCTGTTTATATAAGCTCTAGAGCTCTAGAAAAGAGTCAAGGGGTCTTTTGGCATCTCCTAACTGTGTATATGGTGATGCTTTTGTAGTGGAGAAACAGTGATCAATGCAAATGAAGTCTTCATTTCATGTATACATACCCCCTTTTTGGTGGCAAAAGCTGTTATACCACACCTTTCTGAAGAAGAGTTTTATATAAACACTCAGAGTTTTACTTTCCTCAAGTTTGTTACAGTGAGAAGAACGGGACCTCTGTGACTATTCATGTAGTCGCCCCAGTGTCAACAGCTGCAAATGCTCTTCTCCAGTGATGTCTATTCCCAGGGTTAGTTTTTGCCCTCAATTGCCTATTTAAAGAAAAGATTAGTTTTTAAAGTCTTCCAGCATAGTCAGCTTGGAGTGGAGTAAGACACTTATTTACAACTGCTGACCTTTAGTCTGTGTATCAAATTGGTGTTGTCATTGTAGTAGTAATGGCACTTAGGAGTGTCAAAAGGGGATTGATTGGTCCTGCTTAAGCTCGCTGCTGGCACACAGAGGTACCGGTAGGAATGCATTAACGCTGGGGCAGCTTTGTGTGAACAGCTTCTAATAAGACACATTGTTATGGGGGAGGACTGCTGGGGGAACTGCTTTTTTTTCCTTACTGTTATTAGCATTAATTGTCCTTAATGCACCATCGTTTTGACAGTAATGAGCTAAACCAGTGGGTTATTACTCCAGGCAGAGACTACATTTCCTGGCATTAAAATATTTGAGAGATGTTTGTGTACTGTTCAGTTGGAGGGGCTGTGTGCAGCAGCTCTGAGTTGCCTTCACATAACTTTTTAAAAATGAATATTTCATTAGTCCATCTTTCTTTGCTCCCATCTTGGAACAAACTAAGGCTTTTGCAAAGTTAGCCTGAATAGTCTACATGTTAATGGATCCATTTTCAGGGGTAACCTCTATCTTAAATTACACTTTTTGTTGTAAAGGAACTACCAAGATTGTTGCGTTTGAAGTCTGACCCGAATAGTTTGATTTATGTTTTTGCGTATTTTTCCCACAGGTTCCCTGTGAATTATTTTTCAGGGTGAGGGTGTGGGGCTGGTTCACATGAGCAAACCTGTAATAACAAATTGTAGTATATGATGAAAAATATCTTGGCAATGGAACTTTAATTCTCCAGGGGAGCATTTGTAAGCTGTGAGAACAAATGTGCTAATTAAAAACTACAGACTGCAGTAACTGCTTATGTTTGAGAGAAGGATTGAAATCAGTCAAACCCACCGAGGTTCACTGCCTGGATGGTCTGTGGTTTGGGACTGGGGAGAGGGCAGGAAGTCATTTCTCTGCTTGGGGCTTACACTGGGCTTAGCACAAAGGAGAGTGATAAATGGCAGGGCCTTATTGGCTGCCCTGCACTAAGTGATAAATGCTGTGGCTCCGAAGGAAGGCTTGCTGAACAAAGTGCA